GGGCTTGGGGGGCGCGCCCCCACCTTGGTCGCCTCCTCCTCTCTCCCATTAAGGCCCATTAAGGCCCAATGACTCCCCGGGAGGTTCCGGTAACCCCCCGTACTCCAGAAAATGACCGAACTCGCCCGGAACCATTCCGATGTCCAAACATAGTCTTCCAATATATCGATCTTTATGTCTCGACCATTTCGAGACTCCTCATCATGTTCGTGATCATATCCGGGACTCCGCACTACCTTCGGTACATCAAAACACATAAACTCATACTATCGATCGTCACTGAACGTTAAGCATGCGGACCCTACGGGTTCGAGAACTATGTAGACATGACCGAGACTCATCTCCGGTCAATAACCAATAGCGGAAGCTAGATGCTCATATTGGTTCCTACACATTCTACGGAGATCTTTATCGGTCAAACCGCGTAACAGCATACGTTGTTCCCTTTTTCATCAGTATGTTACTTGCCCGAGATTCGATCGTCGGTACCTCAATACCTAGTTCAATCTCGTTACGGGAAAGTCTCTTTACTCGTTTCATAATGCAGCATCCCGTAACTAACTCATTAGTCACATTGATTGCAAGGCTTATAGTGATGTGCATTACCGAGAGGGCCCAGAGATACATCTCCGATACATAGAGTGACAAATCCTAATCTCGATCTATGCCAACTCAACAAACACCATCGGAGACACCTGTAGAGCATCTTTATAGTCACCCAGTTACGTTGTGACGTTTGATAGCACACTAAGTGTTCCTCCGGTATTCGGGAGTTGCATAATCTCATAGTCATAGGAACATGTATAAGTTATGGAGAAAGCAATAGCAGTAAACTAAACGATCAAAGTGCTAAGCTAACGGATGGGTCAAGTCAATCACATTATTCTCTAATGATGTGATCCTATTCATCAAATGACAACTCTTGTCCATGGCTAGAAAACTTGACCATCTTTGATTAACGAGCTAGTCAAGTAGAGGCATACTAGTGACACTCATTTTGTCTATGTATTCACACATGTACTAAGTTTCCGGTTAATACAATTCTAGCATGAATAATAAACATTTATCATGACATAAGGAAATATAAATAACAACTTTATTATTGCCTCTAGGGCATATTTCCTTCAGGAGACACCTGTAGAGCATCTTTATAATCACTCAGTTACGTTGTGACGTTTGATAGCACACTAAGTGTTCCTCCGATATTCGGGAGTTGCATAATCTCATAGTCATAGGAACATGTATAAGTTATGAAGAAAGCAATAGCAATAAACTAAACGATCAAAGTGCTAAGCTAACGGATGGGTCATGTCGATCACATCATTCTCTAATGATGTGATCCCGTTCATCAAATGACAACTCATGTCTATGGCCAGGAAACTTAACCATCTTTGATTAATGAGCTAGTCAAGTAGAGGCATACTAGTGACACTTTGTTTTGTGTATGTATTCACACATGTACTAAGTTTCCGGTTAATACAATTCTAGCATGAATAATAAACATTTATCATGACATAAGGAAATATAAATAACAACTTTATTATTGCCTCTAGGGCATATTTCCTTCAAAAATATCTCAAAAAAAAAATCTGCACCTTCATCTAAAAAAAGGAAAAAAAAGAAAAAATTACCAGCACAGCCTACCAGCTAGTGCCACTTTGTGTAACCCTCCATTTAAAAAATATCAGCGGTCCTCACCTCCGTCTAAAAAGAAAAAGTACATATAAAAAATAATCCACAACTTCATCAAAGAAAAGTCAAAAAGAGTTCTTATCGTGGTCAACCAGCTTGCGCCACATGGCGTAGCTGGTTGGCCGACCTTCCTGCATAGCTTAATGGGTTTAATATTGTACGACAGCAAGACCATGAGACTTTAATTTCTCCCCTTGTGTTGACCACCAATCCTACATTTTTAGTTCATCGATCATTTACACGACAGCGATTTGCTAGTTTAGTATTATAGAACATCAGAAATCAGAAGAAACGTTGTGAAGTTGCAGTGGTCAAGTAGAGCATTTGTGTTATTCAGTTGTGCAAAAAATTGTTAGCCAAGTAGCCAACTGCTGTGTTTGTAGTTTTGGACCATAATACGAAACTTGTGTGATACAACTTACTTATTTTCAGGCAAAACATTGCTCCAAAGTACCAGGAATACATCCTATTTGCTACTTGTAAGGTAGCAAGGTGTAAATGTTCTGCAATCCACATTACCCAATTAAAACATGCCACAAGTAATGAGCATAAAAGGAACCGACCGTCAGGAGATTATATCATTAGCAAACAAGGGGTCGTTTTACTAGGTCAATGTCACTAGCATGCTTATACTTCCCCAAACTGCAAGCTGACGATATCGGTTTAAGCTACATGACAGTCAAAAAAAAAATGAAACTCCATGGGCACTAGCACCCACGGTTTTATTGATATAGAAGAAGCATCCCTCATGAGAATTCCAGAAATTCGGCCCCGACGTGGATCGAACTCTGGTCGTTAGGTTTACAATCATGCGCCCCCAACCACTGGGCTATGCCCACGTCCTCAAGCTACATGACAGTCGTCATGGCTTTTTTACTAGCTATCCGTTGTACACATTACATTTGCTCAAACACAAAACGTGGTTAACAAAACACGTGGAGGTACCAGTGTCATTTACCATATGTATATATATAAGAAGAAACAAGTACTGAAAGTTTGGTGCAAATTCAAATAACTAATCTAAGTGAAGTTTTCCTAGTTGCTTCCGTACAGAACCACCTTTGCTCCAAACTTAAAAACATCCAGACATTAAAACACTCCTGTTCAAAAAGCCGAGTGTATGCGCGTATGTATGAGCGCTTGCGTCTGTAATGTGTTCAAAAAAAATAGCAAAAAAGATATGTATTCCCGGTACTTTGGAGCAATGTTTTGCCTGAAAAAAAGTAAGTTGTTTCACACAAGTTTGATATTATGGTCCAAAACTCCAAACACAGCTAGGTGTAAATGTTCTGCAAGCCGCATGTCCAACGCTGGGTGCTTGGAGAGACGCCAGGATAGATTTCCTACCGATTTTCGTGTTAACTGGCAGTTACTCCGTGAAATCCTGGCGTCAGACGCCATGTTGGCGCAAAGGAAGGCATCGGCGCTAGGTCCTTTTTTCTCCCACACCAGGCGTGTAGGCTATTTAACTACCGTTTAATTAGCGCCCGTTGTTTGCGTCTGGCGTTGAGGGGTAGAGCGCCTAGGTGCTTTCTAATTCAATAACATTTAATTTTTCCTCCGTAAGCACCTATCTAAGAATCTGCCATTGTAGATGCCCTTGGGTCTTGTTTGGTACTAGTGTATTTTAGGAAATTGATGTGGATTATCCTAGTCAAACCCCTAAATCCTCACATATCCCAAAACACCGTTTGATTCTAGTGTATTTGACATATTTTATCCCCACATTTACTCACAAATCCCCAAGCTGTGCATTTTTCTCAATACCTAATACACTATCTATACCTAGTGGATTGGGGATAAATGGGGATTTAAAGGGATTGTGTGAAGGTTGGGTTTCACCCAATCCCTGTGGGGTCAGGATTATCCCCGCCAATCCCCTCAAAAATCCTAGTACCAAATAGGACCTTACCTATTTAAAACATGCCACAAGTAATGAGCATAAAAGGACGTGACTGTCAGGAGATTATATCATTGTCGAACAAGGGGTCGTTTACTAGGTCAATGTCACCAACATGCTTATACTTTCCCAAACAGCAAACTGAACATGTAGGTTTAAGCTAGCTACACGACATTCATCATGGCTTTTTTTACTAGCTATCTGTTGTAAATTCGCTCATACACAAAACGTGGTTAACCAAACACGTGGAGGTAGCAGTGTCATTTACCATTTATATATAACAGAAGAAACAAGTAGTGAAAGTTTGGTGCAAATTCAAATCAAATAACTAATCTAAGTGAAATTTTCCTAGTTGCCTTCGTACAGAACCACCTTACTCCAAACTTAAAAACATGCAGACATTCAAATAATCCTGTTCAAAAAGCCGAGAACAAAATCCAAGCTGGCATACTGAGCCCACTGTTCCATAGCACAAACGATTGACTCCTATCAAAAATGAAACTCCATGGGCACTAGCACCCACGGTTTTATTGATATAGAAAAAGCATCCCTCTTGAGAATTCCAGAAATTCGTCCCCGGCGTGGATCGAACTCTGGTCGTTAGGTTTACAATCATGCGCCCCCAACCACTGGGCTATGCCCACGTCCTCACGATTGACTCCTATCAAAGAACCACCTCATAAAAAACACGTCGGAGGTCTCAGACTGATGCCACTAACACAAAGATTCCAACTCTGAGTATAGCGGCACATATGGCAGATATGGTGCCTGGGCCTCTCCAAGTGTGATGATCTTTCTCGCTTTCCGACGATCCATATCATAACACCTTAATGTTTTAATAACTAGCCCGTCTATGAAGAAGATCGAGTTACACTCTGTATCAATCGCAGTCCATTCAAAGTAACGGTGAACAACCCCTCGAAACTTTTTGACGTCTCCATCTTGACCTTTGTGCTTCAATTTCCAATCTTTGCCGGGATATCTAGTTGAATATCACTATAATAATTATTATAAATAGTGTTCAAGCTGACATAATGTAAGCGGCCCTGTGACGGTTGAATGAAATCAAGAAATACATTACCACCACAGTCCACAAGGGGTATCGAAGCTCAACCATGATTCTCCCTTGGTGTCCACGACAGCTATACAAGGACGCCGACCGCAAATAGTTTGGAAATGCAAATAGCCGTTAAGAAAGACAGCTGCCGATCGAGGACCGGCGAACCTGAAATCTCGACCCAATCCCTTGTCCTTGTGAATCCATCCGCCAGTCTCCGACGAGTACACATCCACTCCGGTGAAGTAGCGGCTCGCATCCACTAGCAGCACAAACACATGGAAGTGGGCGGACACGGCCGGATCGAACCCCAAATGCACCGTGTCCACTTTGCCTGCAGCCTGACCGGGGTCAGGCATCGCCGCCCACTCCTCCGGGGTTGCACACGACGTACCAGAACATGTCGCCTCCGGCGGAGGCGTCGTACCAGCGGCAGAGGAGGAGGCCTTTGCAGCAGTCCAAGAGGTCGAGGCGGCGGTGGCTGGGAAGGAAGGAGAGAGAAGGGCAGATGAAAGGGCAACCGCTCCCGGACGCATTGACGAAGTGTACGGTTGACATCGGGAAGGGGTTCTCGTTCGTGCTGTTGTAGAAGAAGCCGGCGAGTGGTTGGGGGAGCCGCTTGCGGTGGTCGGGGTGGTCGATGAGGCCGATCCAGCGCTTGGAGACGGCCTTGCAGCGGCAGACCACCTTGGCGGGTATGCGTGAGAGGATCTCGACGAGGAGGTCGTCGGTGAGCCTCTCGATCGCCATGCGGCTGCCCTTAGATCTGCACGGAAACAATGGATCAGCGAAGATGGCGGAGCAAAGGTTCTTGCGACGATCGTTGTGGTGATGCCCTGCGTACCTTGCACGAGTCCGCCGAGCGCGACGAACCGCCAGAACGGACATGCCCGAAGAAGGCAGCGGCCGCATGGCCGACGTGAAGCGAACAAGCGTAAACCTAACCATGGAGCCTGGAACTTCGCCTTGATGTGGCCAATGGTCCACCCGTGAGAGTCTAATAAATAGGCTAAACTGTAGCAAGTCACACGTGCGCACGGCACCATCAGACGGACCATATGAGAAATTGCCCAGCTAGGAATTTCCAAAACTTTGGAGATTCAGCCGAAGATTAGGAATTCCTTTTTTTGCGGGTTAGGAAACTACCCGTCTGTGGCGCTCGGGGGGTGGGGGTGGGGGTGGGGGTGGGGGGCTCGGGCGGAAACCCAAGCCGCCGCCGCCGCCCCCGTCCTCTCCATCTGCACCCCTGCGCGGCCGGAGGACGCCGTCGGTGGTGGGGATGTCTTCTCACGCTGAGATCCCTTCCGTAGGGAGCGCTCCGGCCGGCACGGCGTGGCGGACCTGGACGAAGCGTCTAGGCGGAGGAGCTTGGGAGCCAGGGTGGCGGCCCCGGGTGCTAGTGGTGGTGCTGCTGAGGTGGCCGTGTGGGCGGACCTACGGCGACGGCAAGGTCCTGCGATGGCGGATGGTGGCGACGGGGCAGATTGTGCCCTAGCTTGTTGCGCGTGCCCCTGACCTCCTCCTCAAGATGGCGTTGTGGTCTCTGGTGGCTGGTGTCGGACGGAGTCGCGGACTGGCAGTAGACATGGTGGCGACGGGTTGTTTCCCCATGACCTGCACGCCTGCACCTGACGTCTTCCGAGATCCAACCTAGCTGTGGTCAGTCGCAAATATGCCTCATGCATGGTGGCCCTCGTCTCTGGCAGCTCCCACCTCCCTCGATCTGTGGTGGTGACTCCGGCGCGGCGATCGTTGATTCACAGTGGTCTTTGGCATTGCTCTGGTCACGCGGTCTCTGGATTGTTGGGGCTGCGGTGATGGGCTGGATGGTGGGGGTGATTTAGATGCGATTGGCTGGATGATGGCGTATGTAGATTGTTCTGCGGCGACTTCCTATGGATCCACGACAGCGGGGGTCATAAAAAAGACTACGGGAGGTTTTATCTCCTGATCTGGTGGATGACTTCAGTGGTGGGTTACAAATTATGGACAATGACTTGACGTAGAGGGATGTTTATGGAGTAGCGGCGGTCCAATTGTAGCTGTTCGGATAGCGGAAAGCGGTGGAGATAACACATGTGAGATCTGGATGGTGGTGCTGTGTGCACCCGGACTCGAGCTTCGGGGCGAAAGCCTAGGACAGATCGAATGGTTATTCATGGCAATGACGATGTTTTTTACGTCGTTACCTTATTGGAGGCATTGCTCGGATATGTTCGGACTGATTCTTCAGGGTGAAAACTTTGATACTGGCCTTTTTGGTTGGATCCGGTGACGGCGTCGCTTGAGTGTCGCTTCCTTTCTGAAGGCATTGCTGTTGAAGATCCTCGTCATCCATGTGGTGTCAATGGTTGCTGCGGATATGGTCTCAGTTGTAGTTTGTCGATCGTTCATCTGATCGCTTTGGGGCTTATTTCTTGTTTCTTTTTTTTTCACACCTGCATATAGCTTTTGGTCTTATGACTTTGCTAGTTGCCGGTGTGTTTCTGTGTGTGTATTGGGTTAGCTGTGTGCATCTTAGTTATGCAGAGGCCGGGTGTGTGTTCAGTGTGATGTATCCTCTTGATGCTCCGTTTGAGCCAATAAAATTCACCCTTTGTCGAAAAAAAGGAAATTCAGTTGATGTTTGCAAAAAGTATAAACCCTCACCTCAAGCTCACCGGTGCCCTGCACAAATCTCATCCACCGCGGCCGCCACCTGCACCTCCCTTTGGCGCTAGCTTTAGGTTCTCGGTGTTCATAGGAGTATACCCTTCCCTGTTGCGGCTACTGCGGCTTGAGAAAACATGTATGTCGAGGAAAGCTTCGGGATGATGGAGGTTTGTGCTGTGTTGAAAATTTCAACAGACACAAGTTGCTTGATCCTAAGAGCGAGCACTGGCTGCTACTGGTTGGCACAATTGCATGTGCTTGAGAGTCGCAAGTGCATCGGACAGAGCCGGTGATGGGGTTAGCAGCTTAGCACGCCGGAGGCGCGGCGGTGTACGTTCGAGAGCAAAGAAGCACTCCACAGTCCATGGGGTTGACTGTCTTCTTCCCCTTTGAACGTGCCGATGAACACCAACGATGGGACTAGACGAACCAACTGCAGCAACCACCGCCACCATGCCGAGTAACCCTGCAAACCCTAGAATGGATGGTACGGATCTACGACTGTGAACCATCGACACTGCCACAGACATCACTGTCAAAATGAGAAGACTTGAGGAAGAATCATTCATCGAGCAGACACCATCAACGACATGCCACCGGAGATGACTTTATTGTACACCCCCGCCGCCGCGGGAAGGGCCGAAAGGACGGACATCAAAGGCCTACTTAAAATCCCCAAAACAGGGGATACACTCCCACACTGGTAGGGTCGGTGCACGAGGAAGGGGGCGGCGACCTACCGGTGGGGGAGAAGTTTTCTCACTAGGGTCAGGAGCCAAAACGGTTCGGGAGAAAATTGACCCATGTAGTTTATCGTTTATAAGTTAAACATAATTAGAATTCGGCCTAAATCGTATAATGTTCAATGGAATTAAAGTTCCGATAAACCTGACTAGTACAAGTTCAAAAAAAAAACTGAATTAAAAGCATCTTACTCCCCCTTGTGTTAGACAACGTGGGTAGCAAAGTACTCCCTCCGTCTCAAAATTCTTGTCTTACATTTGTCTAGATACGGATGTATCTAATACTAAAACATGACTTGATACATCCGTATCTAGATAAATCTAAGACAAGAATTTTAGGACTGAGGGAGTAGCAAATCATACATTCTTACTCCAGGTCATCGATCATTTACAGACAACCACTTTGGTATTTTAGTACTCCCTTTGTTACAAAATATAAGGTGTATTAGTTTTATAGATCAGAAGAAAAGATGTGAAATTGCATCGGAGAAATGGAGCGCATGTGTTGTGCGACTGTGCAAAAAGAAATTGCTAATTAAAAGCTTCATTGCAAGTACCTTCCAACTAGTGCACATCATCGCTTATGTCAAACTCCTTTATAACCTACAAAGAGAATGTCTCCCCAGTTGTGTCTGAAAAATAGTTGTCTAACAGGAGTTCTGAATATTAGGTCGGCAAGCACAGCTGGATGATGTTATGTTAACAATAATATACCTATACATTTACAGCATGCGATGAGTGAATTCATTTGAAGTGTTTTACCATCAGAAAGCACATCTAGCCGTAAACAAGAAATGATCACACACATTACTTTATATCGTCTGGAGATATAGGTTTAAGCTACATAGCATTCATAATGGCTTTTTACTAGCTAATCATTTCACTCGTTCGCTCATGCAGTAAATGTTAACCAAACATGTAGAGCCACATAACATTCATCATGACATTGAACCGAAAAAACCAGCGGTCCGACAGGTGAAAATCTGAACCGGCAGCCTCACCGGTTCGATCATCGGTCCGGTTTTTAAAACTATGCTTGCTGGTGCTGTTGTAGAAGAAGCCTGCCAGGGTTGGGGAAGCCTCTTGCGGTGGTCGATGAGGCCAAGCCAACGCTCGGAGACGAGATTGCAGCTGTTGTCCGAACTTGCGGGGACGCGCGGAAGGATCTCGACGAGGAGCTCGTCGGTGAGCCTTTCCAGCGCCATGCCGCTGTCTGTAGACGACGAAGACCTGCACGGACACAATGGATCAGCGAAGAAGGCAGAGCAAGGTTCCTGTGACTGCGATGATCGATGGTGGTGATGTCCGGCGTACCTGGCACGAGTCGTCGGAGACGCTCCTTCCTCCTGCTTGGGAGAGCGAGCCACCGGATTGGACATGCCGGAAGAAGGCGACGGCGGCGGCTCCGTCGAGCTTGGACTAGGACCACGAACAAACGTAAACCTACCCATGGAGTCTGGAACTTTGCCGTGCCTGAGCTAACGGGCCGTCCATCCGAGTCTAAATAGGCTAAACTGTACCCAAATCACACACGCGCGCGGGCACAATCATACCTGGCAGCCTCATCTGGTCGATGGTGGTGTGTCCACCCTGCAGTACGCTGATGATACAATCATCTTCATGGAACACGATTTGACTAAAGCGAGAAACATGAAGTTATTGTAATGCTTATTTGAACAATTGACGGGGCTTAAGATTAATTTCCATAAAAGCGAGTTGTTCTACTTTGGTAGAGCCAAAGACGAACAAGAGACATATAGACAATTGTTTGGTTGTGAAGTGGGAGCTTTACCTTTTACGTATCTAGGTATTCCCATTCACCATTGTAAGCTAACAAACAGCCAGTGGAAGTGCATAGAGGATCGGTTTGAGAAGAAACTGAGTTGCTGGAAAGGAAAACTCATGTCTTATGGAGGCCGGTTGATTCTTATTAACTCGGTGCTCACGAGTTTACGTATGTTCCTATTATCTTTCTTTGAGGTCCCAGTTGGGGTTAGGAAAAGACTGGACTTCTATCGATCCAGATTTTTTTGGCAGAGTGATGAACTTAAGAGAAAATACCGACTGGCCAAATGGGATATTATCTGTCGACCAAAGGACCAGGGGAGCCTTGGTATTGAAAATTTAAAGGTCAAGAACAGATGCCTGCTTAGTAAATGGTTGTATCAGTTGTCACTTGAGACGGAGGCAACATGGGCGCAGATTTTACGTAGTAAATATCTGCAGTCCAAGACCCTATCCTAGGTCACTGTCAGACCAACTGATTCGCCGTTCTGGAAGGGGCTCATGAGAGTCAAAGCTACCTTCTTTAACAGAACTAGGTTTATTGTCGGTAATGGCAACTGTTGGGGAACGTAGTAATTTCAAAAAATTCCTACGCACACGCAAGATCATGGTGATGCATAGCAACGAGAGGGGAGAGTGTTGTCTACGTACCCTCGTAGACCGGAAGCGGAAGCGTTAGCACAACGCAGTTGATGTAGTCGTACGTCTTCACGGCCCGACCGATCAAGCACCGAAACTACGACACCTCTGAGTTCTAGCACACGTTCA